CATTGATAATCTATTCCATGAAATCCTGCAAGAAAACTTTCCAAACCTACAGAGGCACTCAAAGATCCAGTCCCAAGAAATACGAAGGACCCTGAATAGAATCAACCCAAGAAGATCTTCTCCAAGACACATAATAGCCAGGTTGACCAAAACCACAGACAAAGACAAGATACTAAGATTGGCAAGAGAAAAACATCAAGTTACCTACAAAGGATATCCCATCAGGCTAACAGCAGACCTCTCATCGGAAACAATGCGAGCAAGGAAAAAAATGAGAAAATGTATTCAAAATGTTAAGAGAAAAGCAATTTCAGCCAAGAATACTATACCCGGCAAGATTATCTTTCATGTGGGAAGAAAAGACAAGAACATTCTCAGGTAAACAAAATCTGAAAGAATTTACCAGCACCAGACCAGATCTCCAAGAAGTTCTCAAGGGAGTGCTATATCAGGAAAATTAAATACAGACACACAGAAATAAGAGTTCAAAAACTAAGACAGTGGCCAACTTAATTGTAGGAACAAGTCTGGAGTTGAATATTATGTCCCAGAATTTAATCAGGAAAATTGAACCACAACAGAAGATAAAGTACATGAGACTGAATTGGTGGAGTATAATTTTATGACTTTTGACTAAAATAGTGCTGATTTTCTTGTAGACTTTGTTATCTGATTGAAAGGATTTGTGTCCTGTCTTGAGATATGGATAGGTTCATGCACCTACCATGTGAACAGAATCATAACCTGTTCCCTGGCTTTAAGCAAAGTTCCTTAGCATTTCTGTGATTTAAGTTAAAACTGGTTTTCTTAATAGTACCAAGTGAACTTGCTATTGAAAGTAGTTAGATTATTTAAGGAATTGTGTGATCAATACAATGTGAGGGAGAATAGAATGGAAGACAACTGTAGACACCAGAGATAGTTAAAGAAGAGGGTGGAAAAGGACAGAGGGGTCATAAATAGGGGGTAAAAAAAATTCTAGAAACCAGAAATGGAAAATTTTTTATAATAATATGCACGATTAAGCCAGTATATTCTGTATGGGAAATCACATTTTGTATGCTGTGATGATGCTTATGGAAAGAATGTAAATTAAGTTAAAAAAATGTTTCAGAAAAAAAAAACTAAAACTTTTTTTTTTAAATAAAAAATATGCATTAGAAATACCTATTTGATGCCTGCAGTAAGATATATAGCCCCATCTAGGTGCTACTTTGTAGGATGTTCATTCTACTCACTGAGGCTTATGCCTAAAGTTGGACTTGTGCTCATGGAAATGTATATATCAGCTGTGCTTGCTATGAAAATATTTAGATTAATTAAGTTCTTTAGTGACTCGGTAAAATGTGGGGTGGGGGGAAGTATAGAAAGCAAACATAGATACCAGAAACAGTGTGGGAGGAGAGTGGGAGACAGCCGAGTGTAAGAGACAGGGAATCAAGGATGGGGGAAAAAGAAGCAAAACATATAGGAAACAAGAAATAGAAAATTATTTGTTGACGATAACATGTATGTCGATGTGCTTGATTGAGTTAATATACAGTGTACTCTGGATGAAAAACTCTCCCTTTGTATGTTGTAATGATATACAGTGAATGAATGTAAATAAATAAATTTAATTAAAAAAAAAAGTTTTCCTTTTCGATTTTTCCACAACTAATTCAGTTTAATTCTGTCCTAAATAGTATAGATTCCTAATATCAGATATAAAGAATTGGTATGACTAAAAGTAAACACTTTCTGCACATTGTAAATATTTTTTATTTATTTTAACAAGTGTAAACGGGTTTAAATGTTTAGCGGTAATTTTTTTTAAGAGTATTTTGCCTTAGGGAGCATGTACTCACCAGAGAGAGACAGACACAGTGAGAAGAAAAGTAAGAAATTGCACCTGGGGGGATGGCCATGCCACAACCCCTTCTCCTCCATTCTCCTCTCAGGATCTTGGGCACATGCACACATGCATCAGGTGTGATTTTGAAGCCACCGGGACTGAGACTTGATCTGTGGTCGGCCATGTGGGAGTCCAGCAATGTAACCACTATGCCATCTGCTGGTCCCAAGTTTTCTAATCTTCTATTTGATCTAGATTCATAGTGGAAAACTCCTTTTTTAAAAAATATAATTATTTATTTAATTTTATTTATTCATTCATTTATTATAATTTGACCAGAGAGAGATACACAGAGAGAGAGAGAGAGGGAAAGTGAGAAAGCAAGCCACCAGGTCTGGTACTCGAACCACGGTCAGCCATGTGGGAGTGTCCAGCACCTTAGCCACCATGCCACCTGCTGGTCCCAAACTCTTTTAAAGACATATTATATACTGAATGTCCATGCACTATGACTGAAACTGATTGACTAAAGATATAGAAACACAGTAAATGGATGTAAATGCCAAATACAGTGTGTGTGAAAGAGTAGGGTCGGAGGAAGGACATTTAGAAGAAAAATAGAGAGGCAAGGCATTAATAGGACAAAGAAATGTGGTATTATCTGTTGAAGGTATTTTATAGTTCCATCAACTGGACTAGGAGAAATGTTCACCTGTTGTAATATTTACTTTGTAAGCTAAAAAATGTGATTGAATGTATAAAACAAAATGAAATTTTAAAAATGTAAAAAAAAAAAAAAAAAATTCCCAAGGAGAAGAGATTGCAGTGTGGCCATTCCCCCCAGGTGGGTGATTCCTCACTTTCTCTCTCTCTCCGCTGAGTGCACACACTCTATAGCAAACTAAAAAATAAGTAAGTAAATAAATAAATAAATAAATGGAGTAAGATTCTTGGTAATTGGATTTTATTCTATGTCAACTTCAAAACAATTAGAAAAACCTACCAAGAGTGCACCTGATGCATATGTATTAAGACATAATTTTACCAATGCTAGCTACTAGCATGTACTAAAAGGGCCTCTTTATTTTTCTATTTATTTTCTATATTGGTTTTATATATGTATACTGATTTACTTATATTTTTCTATTTAAAATGACTATGAATAAATTTTCTCCTGCCTTTTCTTTTTTAAAAAAAGACATATATATAAAGGTAAGGTTTTATTAAAAGTTACTTAAGACATTTAATATTTAAGATAATGTTTCTCATTACTGTTAGGACAAACAGTTTATCTCATTTCTTAATTATATATGCAATGAGTTTTGCTTTATTTTATTCACAGAACCTTCACACCAGTTTACTGTCCAAGCCCACTACGTGGTATCACACCTCTACTTTATGTAGCTCAGACAAGACAGTCAAATATCTTAAAAATACTCTTGCAATATGGAATCTTAGAAAGAGAAAAAAACCCTGTCAACATTGTCTTAACAATATTGCTCTACCCTTCAAGAGTAAGAATAATGATTGATCATGAATTGGTTGACATGCAGGAAGATGCCAAAACATGTCTAGTGTTATGTTCCAGAGTGCTCTCTGTCATTTCAATGAGGGAAATAGAGGTAAGCAAAGTACTGCTCTCTGGATTTGAGTTCAAATATTGATAACTTTTAAGACAAAATTGTGAAGTCAAGAAAAAGTTAATTTTTAAATCTTATAGCATACATACAGTAACAAATTAATCATTGAGAATATGCTTATCTTTTAAAATAAGACAAAATCCAAATGCTCTAAAATATTAGTTCTTTACTTCATTATTTTATATTTCTCTAAATAGAAATGGATTTTAAAAGTTAAGTATATAGTTTGTTTTACTGTTATTAAGTAGATGTGTATTATTACATCTACTTAAATAATAGAAGTTGTTTATTAAGATTTTTATGTCTCTTAAAAACAAAATGAATTTAAATTTTAACAGGTCTCCTTTTATAAGAGTACTTCGAAATGATGGTTACATTTTTCTCCTCAAATATAATTTCATACAGAGAAACAGATTTTGCCACTTAAATCAAAAAACAAATTTAAGCATTATAAAAATATAAATAAATGCTTAAAATATTTGTTAAATTTAAAATATCTATCCCTTAGAAAGGTGGAGACCTTCTTGATAAAGTTTTAGGACTATGCTAAGTTTAGAGAAAAAGATGACTACAAGTAGGGCATGTTCACTCTACCAAAATGAGTTGCTAATTTCAGCATCAGGCCTACTATTAGCAGAAAATAAATCTTAATGGAGGAAAAGCTACTCCTATAAACTTCCGCTAGTCAAATCACCATGAAATCCAGCAGGTCTCCTACCATTTAAAGGTGTGACTGTAAATAAATTCCTAAGAGATACAATTTTTCTGGGGTTTAAGGAGTTTTTGTTATTTTTTACACCTTGACAATGAATACCAATGTCTGGGAAAATTGTTCAAATTAATTTATTAACCCATCTTTAAAGCAAAATATAATTAAAAATTGTCCTGTCTTGTGTTACTCAACAATTGTCATAGAATGTACCAATTCTCAACGAGTTCCATGAATGCTATTCCTGAGGTACAACCACAGTAGAAAAGTACTGAGATGGAGTAACTTGACCAAAATCACCTGCCTGAGTGGCAAAGAATTTATAGCTAGGTTCTAGTCAACTGCAGTTTAATAAGCTAAAGTATCACTGAGAAAGATAGCATTAAAACTGCTTAAAGAACACTTTTAATGTCTTGCTTTGCCTTTCCACACTTCAGAAGTTTCCCCTCCCATAGCACATATATTTTATAGTAAATACATATTTAGCTATCTCTACCTCTTCATCATGAGTCTGATGAGCATAGAGACTATGTCTATTTTGTGTACTCCAGCAATTATTCCAAGCACCTAACACAAAGCTGAGGATATATTGAATGGCCTTTAAATAGTTGATGACTGAATTAATAATGGATAAGTTACATATCTAACATAATTAGATAAGCAAAAGTGTCATGTAGCCTATAGAACATATGTTTTACTGGGTAAATGTTTCTGTAATGTGGTAATGTCCTTTCCTCCTAAATTAGCCTATTAAGATTTAGCCTCTAGAATTAAGTCTTTTTAGAAAAACTTCTTAAAAACATACTTCTTAAAACTTTAAAAGGCATCTTTTCAGTTGGATAGGCCTCCAGTGAGGTATTCTTGTGTATGCAGATTTATTCTATAATAGCTGGAATCCCACGGGGAACTTAAATCATACAGATTTATGCTATCTTTATCTATCCTCCAAACCAATTGAATAAGAATTCTGGGATGAGACCTAAATTTGTATTTTTTTATAGTCTCCCAGATAATCCCAGTGGACAGTCAAGTTGACAATAATTATTCTAGGAGGATGTGCTAATAAAATATAAGTAAAATCCACCTAAAATTTAAAAACCTATGTAGATTCATCATAAAAATTTCTTGCTGGGGCCAGCAGGTGACATGGTAGTCAAGGTGCTGGATATTTCCACATGGCTAACCATAGTTTGAGTCCTGGACCTTGTGGCTTGTTTTCTCCCTTTCCCTTCCTCTCTCTCTCTGATCAAATTAAAATTAATAAAATTAAATAAATAATTTTAAAAAATATTTTTGCTATGTCTTTTTAAACACTTTATTTAAATTTTATCATTGTGAGAATAAAATGGGAATAAAATGTGTGCCTCTGCTGAAAATACTTTGGGAAAAATGTTACAAGAGTAATATAAATTGAGAATCTATTTTCTGAATTTAAGTTTAAAGGTATTAATAGTTGAGACTAAGCCAATGATTAACATTATAAAAGTAAAAATTTTCATTTTTTTCAGACACAACTGAGTTTAGGAAGACATCCAATTATTTCAGATTGGTTGGATTACATTCCTTCAACAAGATACAAAGATCCATGTGAACTATTACATCTTTGCAGAATAACCATCAGGACTCAACTATTAGCCAACAATATGCTCCCAAATGGAATATTTTCACTACTAATTCCAGTTCGTCTACAGAACTACCTGAATTTAGAAAGCTAATAAGCATCTAAGTTCTTTAGGGATGTTCATCATTGTATGGCTTAGAAATTAATAAACTATTAGCTTCATATATGCTTTTATTATATTAAACATTCCATTAGAAAATATATTTGAAGGCCCAGCCATGATGGTGCACAGGTAGCAACACTACTAGGGAATCTGGAAGGCACACGGGAGGTATAGGTTCAATTTCCATGCCAACTTGAAAACAAAGGGCATGGTTGCATGTACATATAATCCTAGCCGGTTGGGATGCTGGGCAAGAGGATTGTGACAGTGAAGACTGTGAAAAATACTT